GACTCAACAACTGCTGGGCGAGGACCCTGAACAGCTGAAATGCAGGGAGGAGCTCTTTCTCCACTGTGGAGTTGTTTGGAGAGCTCCAGGGTTGCAGCTTTCGGGCCTCACCACCTGTTTGGGAGTGGGCTTTTCAGTGACACACACAGCTGCTTTTGAGACATCTGTGTTCTTTACAAGTAAACCCTCACCCATGTTCTGTTAGTGACCCCATTAAAAACTCATTGGCTCACCGAGTTGGACTTTGGTGCAGTCATTACTTTGGTGTGTCATGAGGTCCCTTTCTGGATAGCTAGAGGTGCGCGTGCTTGCGTGCGTGTGGCATCTCTCCAGTAAAAGTCTGCCACATAACAACATGGTAGCATATGTTTATAATCCCAGTCCTTGACAGGTGGAGACAGGAGGATCCCTGGCACTCATTGGCCAGCCAGTTTAAACTAATTGGTGAAATCGAGACTAATGAGAAACCTTGTCTCAAAAGAGAGGCCTCCACACACATGGTGTACACACCTCTTTACCCATATACATACATACATACACACACAAATAACTATAACAACAACACCAGTGTTCAGACAGGCGTGGTTCCTGCTTGCAATTCCAGAACTTGGAAGGCTAATATAGTAGGTCTGTAAATTCAAGACAATCCTGAGCTATAAGTAAAGGGGACTCCTTCACATTGGGTGGGGGGATCCCTTCCAGACCTTGGATTAGGCACAAATCACACCCAAACACCTGTTTTCACAGAGAGATTCTTTATTAAGCAGGGAAGAAAAGTCAGTTGCTGCTTTCTGACTCAGGCAGAGACACAGCAGCAAATGACCTTGCAGGTGTCATTCTTAAGAAGAGAAAAGGGGGAGATATGGGTTAGAATGGGCTAGGATGTGGTGGTAAAAGAGATAGGAGATGAAGGAGAGGGGGATGGAGAGAATGGAAAGGACCCAGGGATATTTGGTAGCTATAATTTAAAATAACATTAAAAAGCTTTTGACAAGATGTCATGACCACTCCTGGAATTCCCTAATTGAAGGGACACTAGCCCACTTGAACATGTGTCTCTGGCAGGACACATGAAGGACAAAGGACTGCCTCTGGATAGAGAGGAGACAGACATGGCACATAGACAAATGGCAGTTTATAAAGGTAAAGGGGCAAACCCCATGTTAGGAGGTGTTTAATTTTAATTGGGCATGTTAATTAGGTGAGCCAAAGGGGGCTTCTGATTGCTTGACCTCGATAGTCAGCCCAGGAGAAGGAAGTAGCCAAATGAGGGAATAGACCTTGGTGACTAGCTTTAGGAATGTAATCTAACAGTTTTTTAGCAAGGTGTAGGGGATGGGAGGAAGAGTAAGGCCTGCCAGAGCCACATGTTCAAGTGGGCTAGTGTCCCTTCAATTAGGGAATTCCAGAAGTGGTCGTGACATCTTGCCAAAAAACTTTTTGAAGTTATTTTAAATTATAGCTATCAAATGCTTTACCTGTGCTCCATTTAATGCTTCCAACAAATTCCATGGATTAGAAAAGCATTATAAAGCTCATCACAATTCCGCCATTGCCCCTTTGAGCTCAGGTATTCTCAACTAGTTTTTCTAAGGTAATAGGCAAACTTCCCAATTCTTCAGTGACCTCCATTGTTATATGGACAAAACTTTAATTCTTTTTTTTTTTGAGATGGGATCTCAATATGCAAACCTGACTGGCCTGAAACTCACTATGTAGACCTGGCTGAACTGAAATGTCTGGCCTCTACCTCCGAAGTGTTGGGATTAAAGGCTGGCACCACCACACCAGCTCCTAATTATGAATTGTTTTTAAATAAACATAGAAACATAGAGAGTAATGTGAAGTTCAAAGGATCCATGACTCATCTTTAGTAATTACATTCTGCCAATCTATCACCACTATTTCTTTTGGCAGGGCTGGGCGCTGAACCCAGGGCCTTGCTCACATTAGTTACCTAGGCCCATAGACTATGGAACGGAACGAATGGCACCACTCGTGGCTAGACACATGACTTGCCCCCTTAAACTTCTCTGGATTTTACACACACACACACACACACACACACACACACACACACACACACACACACCTGCATATGCACTTACACAAACATGAACACACAGATTCTTATAGACAAATGGTTATAAAGATGGCACAAATTAATGCACGAAAGTTGGTTGAATATCTGGTCTAATCACCTAGATGTTTCTCAATTCGGTCAACAATCAAGTTTAATTGTCACTGACATTTCATTCAAAGTTTTCAAGGAAAGATATGCCTGTAAATGTGGATCTTACACAAACGGAATGAGAACAACAAGGCTTGAGCCTGATCCCACCGGCACTATATTCTGCACTGGGGGCACCACGCAGCCAGTGATGCTGGCTGGAGCACAGTATGAAACAAGCAATCTTGTCCCTTAAAATAAGAACAAAGCCTACTTCTGTGCAAACAGTGCTATCATCCCAGTAGAAGCCTTGCACAAGCCCTTGACCTTGTTTGTAGTCCTCTGAGTTGAATGAGAAACCCCAACTTGCAGAAATGAGGCTCTCCTCTCAAGAGGGTTGCTTTGTAAATCTGTGTTTGTTAATTTTAGGCACCCACTGATGGCTTCTCACCCACACTACCTGGCTAAGACATCAGCAGTAGACAATGCGCCTGACATCTATTTTCCAGCTTCCCACTGGTGTGGAAATTCCACTGTTAGCAATCTCACCATTGCTGGCCTTGGTAATGCAGTCCTTTCACTTGCCTCAAGGTGAGCCATCTTTAATCTACAAAGGAGGCCTTGATTGCTTCACTCATTATGAGGTTGCATGCTTTTGCAGCTCCTTGTGTTTATTTTCATTTCAAATGTAGCATTTAACTAAACATAATCACACAGAGAGAAAAATAAGAACCAACACTTCGGGCTTTTGCAGAAATGATTACAGTCTGATTGGACTGTGAAATTGATCATCCTTGCCCCCTGAAAAAATAGTGTGTTACCACTGAAAAAGAGAAGGACAGTTATAAAATGAGCTATGCATAGATGAAAATTGAATTTACTAGCCCTGTCTCCCTCAACACAAATGTAAGTAGATATTTGGCAAGATAACCCAGTACCTAATTCATATTAAAAAAAAATTAACTATAACGGAAGACAGTAGATCCTTCCAGTAAGAAGTCACCCCCCCAAAAAAAGGAAGAAGAGGAGAAAGGTATTAATAATGGCAATGCCATTCAGAAGTAATTACTGGAGAGACAGAAACAAAGAAGTCTGGCAACCTCTAAAACTTCCCCATTCATGCTTTTCACAAGTCTCTGGAGAAACAGGAGGTATAAGGAGTGACTCTTCAATTGCTCAGGGAAAAGATGCAGAAAATGATGAAGACGTGGGCCAAACAGTTTGTGAAAGATGATGAGGTAGGTGAGAGACTGTAGACATCTTTTTTTAGGATATGAATAAATTGGGTGTCTGCAGTGGAGAGGAAAAAGAAAATAACCTTAATGCACAACATAAAGCAAAGCAATCCTAAAAGAAACTCTGCAGAAACACAAGCCCACGTAGAGTATGTGCAGGACAAAGCCAAAAACAGTTGATTTCTCTTCACCTTGTAAATAGCACTGATAATTTTGAACTTCTTTCTCTTAAAGACAAACATACCTCCCCCTGAAAAACAAGGCTTCCCAGGAATATAGCCGCCAGACTCAGAACAATATTTCCTGCAATCTAGGTTTCATTACTGTTTTTGGTTTTTCTTTTTTTTTCTTTTCTTTTTTCTTTCCTTTTCTTCTTTTTTTTGTGGGGGGGGGCGGTTTCTGAGACAAGGTTTCTCTATATAACAATTACAGTATTTATTGAACCATTTATTATACTTAAGTCAATGGCAGTCAGCCATCAAATGTATGTGGTTTCAGGAACTCAAGCCCAAGTCACTCACTATTCAATGTTACTTGAAGCAAATCTACTCACAGCACATTTTGAGTAGCTATAAGGCTGGCCTTCAACTTGCAGTCCTTCTATGTTGGCCTCGCTAGTGGTAGGATTACAAGTGTGACCCAACAGCACCAGCTACAAAAGAGCACTTCAAGAGACTGTATTTCTTGCTTCTGGAGTCCTAATCAGACCTGAATTATACAGCCACCTCTGCATCTAAGTTATTGGGTAACTCTTTGAAAGCAACCCTTATCCTGTATTGGGCCTGATTCCTCAACTGTATTTCTAACATTCATTAACTGCCCAAATATTTGCCTATTGCATGCCGGCACTGTGTGCTAGCAATACAGACTGGAACAGAAAGAGCCAACATTGACTAAACGCTTCCTTTACACTTGAACTTTTGCTAGGGGAGTTATGTACGCTGACTGATAACCTGTGAGCCACTAGTGTGATCTTTTCCAAACATAACAAAGGAACCAAGGCATAGTGAAGCTGAAGTCACTTCTCCAGGAGATCATGGATTTGGATAAAGATTGGATAGCTTTGAGGCTTCAAACCCCACCACCCCAGTAACCAGAGCCAATTGTTTCTCTTCAAAGAGATTACTATTTCCATTTCTTTTCTTTTTTTCTTTTTGGATTTTCCCCCACAGGGTTTCTTTGTGTATCTTTGGCTGTCCTGGAACTCACGTTGTAGATCAGACTAGCCTTGAACTCACAGAGATCCACCTGCCTCTGCCTCCCGGGTGCTGGGATTAAAGGCGTGCGCCACCAGTGCCCTGCTTACTTTATTAATTAATTAATTAATTAATTTTTGCGATTACTTTTCCAACAATTTGCATTTTGGTTGCAAGCCACAAATCCTGGGAAGAACACCCTCTTGTCACTACAAGGGTACCAACACACACATTAGAATAGGTTAGAGAAATGATCCAGAAATCTGTAACAGGCAGACAGCACCTGACTCTCCTACTCTGGAAGTTTCCACGCCCAGTAGGCCGGCAAGGAGCAGAGTGTGGGCGGACCTAGCACACGCATGCCCTTCGGAGCCTCTCATTGGGTATAGTTGAGCGTGCGGGTTACGTCTGGTCTGAACCTCGGTGCAGGGCGGGCCGTTTCAGCGTCGCGGAGCTCGTTCCCCACCCCCGCTCTTTTCCTGCAGCTTCCTGTATCGCCCGATCTTTAATGAAACCAAAGAGAGGACACCGTCCCCGTCGAGAGCAGCCTGGTCGGGAGCGTAACTGAGTGGCCGGTGGACGAGAAAGGAAAGCCGCTGTAAGCCTGAGTTTTCCTGCCCTTGAGCCATTCTAGATGCGGTGAGTGCAAAGACCGCGGTCCCCACTCCAAGTGCAACACTAAGCGGCTGCTCCCCTCCCTCCTCTGGGAAAGGTCTGGGCCCTAGCCCATTCCCAGGATGCCCCACTCAGAATGCCCTGGCAGGTGCGATGGAAGGACCCCACGGGGGTGGTGAAGAGCACCCTTCCCAGAAGTGCTCCCTTGGCCCCTCAATGGGATTTTGAAATACTCAAGCCCGTCCCTGTACTCTGTCTCCATTTTGATCTCCACCCACTAACTCCTTAAAAAAAACTTTGTCTCAAAAACAAAGTTTCTTCCCTCACTGTGTGTGAAGTTTTAAATTCCCTTCTGCTCTGTAGAAAATACCCTAGCATGTGGATCGCTGGTGTTACATTTTTTTTATATTCCTCCACGGGGGGGAAATGTTAGGATAATTTGTGCAAATAGTTTTGTGTAAAATATGTAGACGTTTGGGTTTTAATAGTATTTTTGCTGCCAGGAGGAGTATCCCTGTCGGGAAAAATTCTGACACAAAATCAAGCGAAGGGTCTTGTCTGGATTGTTGTGTATTGGCCTAAAATAATGATTGCATTTATAACAATTAATATTAAGGTGCACCCAACAACACTGTTTTGAGGCATAGCTTTTCTGCTGTTTCTTCTTTCCTATGGGAGTTGTTTATTAACCAAGTTCTCTGGAGGAAAGTACCATCTTGCCTCTCTCCACCCATTTCCCCAAACACACTTAGAAATGTCACCTGCCCATCACACAGCTGTGTTTGTGGTGGAAGTCAAACTTCATTTCCTGTATAAGAAAACAGCAGGAGCCAGAAGTGGTGCCGCATTAACACCAGCACATGGGCAAATGAAGCCAGAGGCTCAGAAGTTGAAGACCAGCTGGAGTTCCATAGTGAGACTATTTCACAAACAAAAAAGAAGAAAACTCAATTTAGCATTGTGTCGAAATTTGGTGCAAGCATCAATTATGTTTAGTAGATCCACATTTCTCATTTATAGCTTACTTCTATCACTGATAGCCTCTGTGACTTGGGGTCAGTTACTTAACCTCCATTTCCCTATTTAAAAGAAATATGTGATTGGCATGAGGGGAGGGGGTCACAGAGCTGGGTATTCGGGCCAGATAAAGACAGGACAGGTAACCTGCTCTATCACTCTCCCTTTTTTTCTTTTCTTTTTATTTATTTATTTATTTTTTGGTTTTTCGAAACAGGGTTTCTCTATGGCCTTGGAGGCTGTCCTGGAACTAGCTCTTGTAACCAGGCTGGTCTCAAACTCACAGAGATCTGCCTGCCTCTGCCTCCCGAGTACTGGGATTAAAGGCATGCACCACCAACGCCCGGCTTCACTCTCCCTTTTTATTCTTCCTGAGCCAGGAATATGCAGAAGGCCAGCAGGCCCCAGTGGTCTCCTGTCTCCTACCCCACAGTACTGGGGATGCACATGGCTCCCTGCTTTGTCTAGCTTTTTATATGGGCACAAGGACTGCAACTCAGGTCCTCATGCTTGCATAGCAAGCTTTTATCCACTGAACCATCTCCCCAACCTCATAACTTTAAAAACAAAATTGACATATAACTGTACATTTTGTTGTTTTTTTTTTCAAGACAGGGTTTCTCTATATAGTTTTGGAGCCTGTCCTGGAACTCTGTTAAACTAGGCTGGCCTTGAACTCACAGAGATCCACTTGTCTCTGCCTTCCTGGTGCAGGGGTCAAAGGCGTGTGCCACCAGCACCCAACTAACTACATATTTTCTAAATGAGAGAAATGACGTTAGGTAGCTTCTAAAGTTCTTTTCAAACATGAGAGACAAAGTGGAAATCTAAGGAGCACAGTGGAACTTTGTGGAGTCACAGAGGAAATTGGGAAACGTTCAGCCTTTACTAACAAAAATGGAAACCTTATTTTCCACATGTTTTATTTACATTGGCATTTCTTTCAGTTTCTAATTGAAATTAAAAATGCAGGAGTTTTTCTCCCAGTGTACCTCCCCAAGGAAGAAAATTCCTTTTGAGGAGATAAAAATACTTGTTAATGTCCCCCAAATATACCTACCTTCTTCCTTAACTTCTTTCTCCAAACAACTTTCCATTGTGGGCTTTTATTACATCAGTAGTTCGTGTACTGTATTGTAAGACACTTAGTCGAAGAATGATATTAACAACATGTGGTATTAACCACAAGAAATGTGATTTAGACTGTTTAAAATACCTTAGGACATTAGCCACCAGTTAAATAAAGCACTAG